CAGTTATTTTTAGCTGTTAGCACTGTTCAATGACTATCACCCTGTATTAAACATTAATCCATCTCTACATGCAATTGAGGACTAGTAGCAAAGCATTTTGAGTCAAAGCACTGGTAGAACTTTTCAAATTAGCAACTCTTTGTCTTTTAATTACAGTATCTGGCACTCTCTGTTTTTCTTGCTCTTGAATCACAATGCAGCAGACCTGCCAGAGTCAGTGCCAGCAGCGCGCTCTGACCTCAGGCTCGTTCAGCACTTACCAGGTTAATTTAGTTTGGGATCAAGTTTCTTCCAGGGACGTTTGGTGATGATCTCTTTCAAGCCCTTGCTTGCAGTTTTCTCACAGTGCCCGTGTGCTGTTGGAGCTCACACAGCTCTGCTGCACACTCCTGGATCATTGACTCAGCAGGCTGCATGGAAGTCCCATGAAGCTATCGGCTTGCAAAGTCAACTTCAGCATTTTCTGTGAAGCTCTAGGTGCCCGGACTGGGCCAGGAATGTTGTGGCCAACCAGCATACAGAGGTAGAAAGGGATTTTATTTTATTTTAAATAAAGCTAGCGTTCACAGAAGCTATGATTCTAGTTTCTGTGCATGAAACATAGCTATCTTTTTTTCAATCTTTAAACTTTCTCCTTTAGCCTACACATACTGTACATGTCTATAATACATTAGAAAGGATTATCAGATGCTTTGAATGTATGCTTTTCAGTTGCAAAAATATTTTTCTTATATTTACTGGAAGTTAACTCCATGGATGAAAAAGCTTATAGAGTCTACTTGTACAGATGTATGTAATGTATTTAAAAATTTAAGTGTCCGTTTTATAAACTGCAAAGTGCTTCTCGGTCAAAAATCCTCCCTTATGTTTATTTGTATGGAGTGCATTTGTGTAGGATTTTAAGTTGATGTTTTTAGTTAACCAAAGCAGTAGGTGTGTTGTGTCTTAAATCAGATTAGTTTAAGGAAAGCCTTAAAAGGGTGTTCAGTCTTTGCCTTAGGCTGTTAATTTTTCCTAAATTTAGTCTGTCGTATTGCCAGAATGTCTGTTTCACTTCATCTTTCAGTCACGTAAAAGATATACGTTTGGTTTCGGTTAATAATCTTAAACCAAATAAAATGGTACATCATGCACAGATGTAAAAAGCTTAAACATTTTTCTTCGAGCTTATGTTGCAAATTTATCTGGGACATCTTAGAAAAGGTCACATACCTTAACTGTTTAAACAGTTGGTAACCTGTGGTTGCCTGTTAACAGTTTCTAGACAACAGCATTGCATATCACAGCAAAAATAAGATAGATTGCTGGAACAAGAGTACGGAATTAAGATTACGGAAGAAGGAGAACACTTAGTTATTGAGTGTGTAAAACCTCTAAGCTGCTTTTAACTGTTGTTCTGGTTCGTATTAAGAAAAAGGACAGTTAACAAAGTGAACCAATTTCCTGGCCCAGAGACAGTCAATTAATCCTTTTACAGCTCTGGGGGCTACAGCTAATCCTTAGTTTGGGACCGAATTGTGACCCCCACTGCTTTCTCTGCCCGGCCCCGCGGCTCTGGAATCGGAAACAACTGGACTGAACAATGATGACAAAAAGAAAAAAATAGTTCCGCTAGTCAAGATGTCACTGCTTAATATAGTCGTCTGTCTGCTGTGTTTTGTTGCTGTATTTATATATAGTCTGTCGGCTGTCCAAACTGTAACACAAGTAGGTGAAGTGTGATGTCATGCTTATGTAAAGCTTTTATTTCTCCCTCCCAATGCATATCTTCACAAATATCTTACTAAACCGTTTGTGCTGTGCTGGCGGATATAAGATTTCCTCAGGTCGTAGACTGAGACAAGCCCTGGGCTGTAAAGACACCCAGGCACAAATCCCAGGTGCAGAGTCGCTGCTGCTGCTATTATTAATAATTCACACACAGCATGTTTTTCAGTAATCACTCATGTAGGGGATGGTCTGTGCAGCTTTTCAAAGCCAATTTCAAACAATGAAACTAGATATGAGGCCCAAACTACATAGTCTGAAAGCATTAATTCATACCAGTTTTTTAAAGCAGGATGGCTTTAAAAAAAGACCTGGAAGGTAAAGGATTGTTTTCATTTGTGAATAGTGCACTGTGAAGATTTTGATCTGTTTAGGCAGTGTGTCTACAGTTTCAAAATGTGTTTCTTCTCTCCCTGTCAGTTGAAAAGCAATCATTAGGTTTTGTTTTTAAGGGAACTTGAAGGTCTTTGAGTTTGAGCGGCAGTATACATTAACAGCAGGCAGTATCTGTTTTATATTGTTGCATTTTCAATACAGAATTAAAAGTTCTGAACTGCTGGAAAATCAGGGAGATCGCACAAGTCAAGCACTAGAGTGACTTAATAGGATCTGGAAGGAGAGGCGGGGTGGTCTGTCTGAAGTCCATGCAAAACCACAGAAAATAACTAGGCTTTTCATCTAGATGGAAAGCTGTCCTGACATACCCTTAACCCTCACCACCACCTTGGTTAAATTCATTGCAATGAAAAGTTGAATTGTTAAAACAGATTTGTGGCGTGTTGTTGTGACAGAACTAAAGCTTGGGCTGGAAACAAGGCAGCTTTGCACAAAGGGAGACAATGAAATTGTTCGGTGGTGCCCTTTTTTTCTCAGCAAGATGACTGAAATTGGCAGACAAGACATACATCTTTGTCAAGGCACTGTTTCAGCTCCCTGTTTCTCTCCCCTTGTTCCTCTCGGCCTCATTTGGCATAACAGCTGAGCCCCTTTGTTATTAGAGTAGCACGTGGTCCTGGGGGAGCTTGGCTCTCACTGTCACCTGATCAGGCGTTTGATGCATCATATAATCTCAGCACCAAGGGAGCGGTTTTTGAATATGTACAAGATAATCCAGTGGGGAAGGTTGCCAACGTCTTCCCCCTGCTTTTGCAAAACCATAGAACCTTAAGGGCTCTTATCCCAGTGGAAGGACACAAACAAGCTCTTCATTAGCTCTTTAACAAATTTGCCTTGACTTTCACCCTTGCAAATCGTGAATCGATTATAGCAGTGTAAAAGAAGAAGGTTTAGGCCCATATTCCAATTTAATTTAGCTAGAAAGAAAATCTCTTGAGGGTTTCATACCAGGAAGTATCATTAGTGATCATTCCTGATATGAAACCTAGCAGATATTAGTTGAAATAAAAGTGATTTCAGAAAACCCAAGTTCCTTTGTTCACGTATTTTGTGCATTGGTCTTAAAAATAATATAACTAATACTTTATTAATTTTATAAACCTGATTTGATATTACCTCACATTGTTAAGAAAGTTCTAAAATGAATCAATTAAGTATGTAGCAGAACATATTATCTTATGCACCTATGTAAAAGGAGACATGGAATCATCATAGATGTCAAAAGTTGTTTTTCTCTTAATGCACTAGAGCTCTTATCTTTCCTTTTACTTATAAAGGAATGTCCTGATGATTGCATTGGGTTTACATTCATTATTAATAATCATTCCTTGCATTTGTAATGATTTTGATCCCATAGATCCCAGAGCATTTTACAAAAAGATGCGGACCTACTTCATCCATTGCTGAAGGGAAGAACCCGCTAGTGTGTTCTGTGCCAGTTGCCCCACTACACAGCAGAGAAGTGAGAAATTAAATCACCAGTTGAATTATAGTGGAACTTTTGGTAGCCCAGACTCTAGGATCAACATCCTTGCTCTTATAAACGGGACTGTGGGATCTTTAATACCCACAAGTAGTCAAGACCTTATTTAACCAAAGGCAGTGTCCTGACTCACCATTCGAGCACACTGGTGTGAAAATTGTGATCCAGAGGGTGGAGTGCTGGCTACTTCTCCACTGGCACCCCCTGCAGGACAAATTTTACATCTCCCATCCCAGCATCGACCAGGCCACGCCCAGCCCTCACCCGCATCTCGAGCTGAGCAGGTCCCCTGCTTGACAGAGGAAGCAGCAGTTTTATTCTGAACTCTTTTTCTCCGTGCTGGCAATGCATGTGCGGGGGATCAAGGTTGCTGCGCGGATGGAAAGAATGAAGGGAGACGCCTTGGGGTTTCATTAGCAGATTGTCTTGACAGTGCTGCTCCTCCTGTTAGGCATTGATAACTGGGAGGTATGACAGCAGTTGGACGTGTGTGGATAACCTGGTAATCATTACACCCTCCCGCGTGTCCTTGAAATCTTCACCGTGCTAACTAAGTGAAAGATGGCGAGATTTACAGAGCCTTCTGTAATCTCAGTGGCTGCAGTTTTTTTTAGGCTTAATGTCATTATGTACGATAATGCTTTGATTTTGTTTTGGGGCTATTGCACTTTTAAAAGTAGATGGCAGGGGGGACCTCCCATTGTTGTTGCATTTTGACCATGGTTGAGTTGTTTACTTTCTTTTCTCACAGCTGTAAAACATAACAGGGTTTTAATGTTTCTTTATTGCTTTGCATCTGTTAGCCTTTGTTTCGTTTACATTTGAAGCTCATTTGCAAATTGATTGTTGTGTGGTTGATTCAAATGAAGATGCTGAAGGTAATTAAAATTCTTTTGGTTCATAACTGAACGTTTTGGCATCGAATAAGCTTACTCCCAGAATGCTGAAGGCAGCATTTTTCTTTTGTCAGATACTGTATGTGGTATCACCTTCACTAAATTACAGCTTCAGATGCACAGACTGGTCGTCTGTGATGTGTTCAGTGGTTTAAGAAATTGTGCACTAAGCAATCAGACTACACCCTGAAGGAAAAGGTTCAATAATTAAAAACCACTTGAAAACGACAGACATGCATAAGAGTACTGGCATGTAGGGAATGTAATTCATAATAAACTTATATTATGAAATGAATACACCCTGACAGACCTATGTAGGCTTCCAGAATAAACAACAGTGACACGGTGTATTGTTTTAATGAGCAGAGATAAGAAAAGAGCAATCACAGAGCATCAAAAAGCGCAGCTTAAGTCAGACTTTCACCTCTGCCCCATTTTTCTCGCAATCTTTCTTCCAGCTGGGATGACAGCAGCTCAGTCAGCAGTGGAATCAGCGACACCATAGACAACCTCAGCACAGATGATATCAACACAAGCTCGTCTATCAGCTCGTATGCCAACACACCCGCTGCTTCCCGAAAGACCATAGACGGACAGGTGAGGCTTCTCTCCAATCTGCACAATGACTTCTTACAAAGCAGGGCAGGGTGCCCTGCACATTTTAATACAGAGCTTCCTCTCTCGTCCTTGTTATGTTTTTTCTGGCAGTCATTAGAAATCCTGGCACCCCCAGAGATAGGGAAGGTTTGATCTCAGCTAAGTTAGTCATCCTTCCTTTCGCATTTATTTAATACTTAAACTATGATGTGTTTTTGTATTTGAAATCACCGAAACTCACCGACATCAGTGTTTTTCTCTGTGACGATAAGCGTTACGAAATAGCCAGATAATTTGAAGAAGTTGTTTCCGTTTTATTTTATTCCTCTTGATTATATACATCTAAGATAAGGATGATCTTTATTTCTGATGTCATGCATTTGTATTCTGTATGTTGAAAGGCCAAGGCTGTTTATTCCTGGCAACAGTGCCACCTGCTGGACCAAATGCTGCTAACAGTTTTTATTAGGTTAATAATAAGTGCTATTCTTTGATGGAGTTTGCTTTTGATTTTGAGTAATGCCTTTGAAAAAATATCAAAGTAGGATGTCAGGAATTAAGTTTTTATGACATCCTAACCAGGGTGGTGTTTTAATGCACGACATTGCACTTTCTTTCATGAGATCTTGGCAAGATGCAAGTTTGCCACATGGAGACCAAATGTAGCTGTGGCACGGTGTTAAAATTAAGTTCACGTCAAGTAATACAACCTGGTAGTAGATGCTGAGTTAAGTTTGAAGGATTCAGGGAGACCTCATCACATAGTGTCCTAACTGTGCACACCAATGGCAGTGTCACACACAACTTGAACCATTCTGCAACCTCTTTTCTCCCCGTTTTGAAGCTTGAAAAGCTTGAAAAGGAGCTGTCGGTCTCCTGTGAGGGAGGACATGCAGATGTGCCTTCAGATTTCATGGTTCTGTGCAAATGTGAAGTGTTCGGTAACACAATCTGGGTGTAAAATGGAAAACAAAACATTCCAGTTGATTTTATTTGTTCAAACCAATAGGGATCTGACCGACTGCAGTTGTTTATATCTAATTTACTCTATTGCCAGAAAAGGCTTAAAAGGAATACGAATGAATTAAACTGGGCACTGAGACATTCCACTGAAGCCAAGAAGTTTTTCACTAAATTGTTTTCTCCTATGAAACAATTTTACCTTTTATAGACATTTTAATTCCACAAATATCTAAAAAGGAAAATACTTTATTTTTAATTTTTTTAAATGCAGATAAGAATGTTTTGGTGTGCTTTACTGGTTAAAAGAAAGACATTCATCAGTCAAGGGTATTTGCAGGAGCAGTTTAACAGCAAACTGTTGCTGATAAGGCTGATGTTAACTAGAGATGATTAGACTTGTTTGCAGATATAGACATTTTCTTGATGGACAAAGCAAAGGTTGATGTTTCAGGTCATTTTAGGTGCCTTTGAATTACTACTGTTTACTTTCAATGATTGTAAAAGCACATGATATTTTTAGCGTTTTTTTGTTTAATAACCAAATTCATAGGCATGAATGTGCCTTTCTTAGTTACTCTTTTCCCTTCCAGTTTTAATCGTTTATTGTATTTAAGAAAAAAATGAAAATTGCAGGCTACTGTTTGCTCAAGTTTTTCAGAAAGCAAGTACTCTACAAGCTCTCTAGCATAACCTTCTTAAGAACAGGAGGAACCAGTGTTTGTATTATGGTTCAGGGACATACCTCAGGATAAAAAAAAAATGTGTTGTCTGTATCGCCTATTTTAATTTCTGTTGCAGTTTTAAAAGACACTGGTGTAAAAAGCAAGGTGGTGCAGCAGATTTAATATGTATTTCATAAATCTTCCGTCGGAGTTAATTTCTGGTGGATGTCGAATGCAGGTTGTCCATAGTGTATTTGTGACTCTCTAACATGATCTACTGCACTGACCATTACTCCAGCTGCCAAAAACACTATAAAGTGACAGGACAGGGGAATTATTTAGGCTTCACTGGCAAGGATTAAGTACCTCAGATTAAAGTAAGGCGGAGGCAAAAAAAGAGAAAAACAAGCACTGTGGAGTCTTCATGGTTAATGCATATTTAAAAACCATGTGAGCGCTTCAGGATAGTTAACATGGGCAGTTTCCAGTAAGGTGTAAGTGCAACTGGGAGAGTCACGCTACAACAGGAGGCATTTGCATCCAACATTTACCTAAGCAAATTTGCATGACATCTCCTGCAACTTTCGGGACATCTTTGTTATGTTCAAAAGAACAGCACAAAGGTCAGCAAGATCTTTGTGACCTTCTTTAAGTGGATTAATCATGACCAGGGAGTGGAGTTTTAATGATGGCCCGAGTCTTTTCTAAGGGTCAAGAAACCTCCATTCACCAGATGAGCAGATATTCTTGACATGTTTTCTCAGTTTTCTGTCTAGCGGTTTTAATGAACTCTGTGCAGTGTGGTGACCGGTCCTAGCAGTAAAGTACTTTCAGTTATCACTTTGTTTTGAATTAAACAAATAAAATATTAAGCAGATACAGTATATAAAATGTATTCTCCGGTGTACAATCCAGTTGTCTTCAGCTTTTCTATAGCATTTAAAGGCTTTTGTTTTTGTGTATTGTATTTTGATGGCAGTGAGGGTTTTGCAGACCAGTGATTGCCTGCCTACCCACAACAGCCCGTGAATATTTCTTCTCCTTGTCCTCCTGATCCTGGCTCTGGAGACCCAGACACCTGCTTGTTTTCTTTGCAGCTGACCATTATTTAAATGATTCCTTAATGGTTTGGTTAGAACCTTTACAATATTTTTTTTTCTATACACAGGTTGGCAATTTAATGTTATTTAAGAAATATACTTCTTAAAAGGCAACGTCCTACACGTTAAGAAAACTGAAAAAGTTAATTTAATTTAAACCTATAATTGGGTCTAATAAGGATTCAATTATTTAAATGAGCTCTCAAGTGAAACAAAAGCTAGCAGGTGTGTGGGTTCCCAAGACCAGGACTAGGAAGCACTATCCTAGTCTAGACTAGCTGTTACGTGGTACAAGGGACCAAAATGTGGTGCTTGATATGAAGTACCATGAGCACCTGCATTGTGAAGGTTAACTCCATGTGAAGAAAGGTATATTCAACATTCTCCCTGCCGGTTCCTCAGCCTCAGACAGACGCAGAGAAGCACTGTGCTGTGGAAAGGAACTCCATGTGGTCCGGAGATGAAGTAAAGAAGTCCGATGGAGGCTCTGACAGCGGAGTCAAGATGGACTCAGGATCCAAGTGGAGACGAAACCCTTCGGATGTGTCCGACGAGTCGGATAAAAGCAACTCGGGCAGGAAAACCACCATCATCTCCCAGACCGGCTCCTGGCGAAGAGGCATGACTGCCCAGGTTGGCATCACAGCTCCCAGGACCAAAACAGCCCCAGCAAGCTCCAGCACACTGAAAACACATGGAACAGGTAAGTGGAAATCCCCCTCTTTTAAACCGGGTACCATCTGTTTACATTCTTTCTAAAATATGACACCGTACCCTATGGTGGATTCTTTTTACTAGGTAAAACAGACGACGCTAAGGTGTCTGAGAAAGGCAGGCTGTCCCCCAAATCGGCGACCATCCAGCGATCCCCCTCTGACGCGGGGCGCAGCAGTGGCGACGAAGCCAAGAAGCCTCCTTCCAGCACTTCCAGGACCCCCACCAACACTTTCGGCTTCAAGAAACAGTCTGGAGGGATGACCATAATAACCGCCAGCGGGGCGACCATCACCAGCGGCTCGGCCACGCTGGGAAAGATCCCCAAATCCTCCGGGCTCATCGGGAGATCTGGTGGTCGGAAAACCAGCGTGGATGGTTCCCAAAACCAGGACGACGCTTACCTTCCCATCAGCACGCGGACGAACCTGCAGTACCGCAGCCTTCCCCGGCCCAGCAAGTCCAGCGGCGGGGGCCGGAATGGAGGTGGAAACCGCTCCAGCACCAGCAGCATCGACTCCAACCTCAGCAGCAAGTCGGCGGGGGGGCTGCCCGTCCCCAAAATCCGAGAGCCTTCCAAAGTGTCCGCGGGAATCTCCCTGCCCGCGGGAGCCAACCAGACGGACCGGGAGAAGGGCGTGTCGTCCGACGCGGAGGGCATGGCCTCCTGCAGCTCCGTCAAAGCCAGCCCGACCTCCCAGTCCGGAACCAGCAGCTCACAAGGCAGTCGCCAGCAGGGATCCAAGTACGCAGATGTGTCGTCCCCAACGTTGCGTAGGTAAGAATCAGCTGCTGCACAAAGTGCAATTGTGAGATAATTACAGGGGGTTAGATCAAGCAAGGAAGTAATAATTCACTCACCTTAACATCTAGTTTCACCTTTCTTAAACGAACACAGAGCGCTGTAACCTTCAATCACGTTAAGCTTTCAGCAAGCACCGAACAGAAGCACTGTTTATGTAGATGAGGCTGCAGGCAGGTCTGAATGTCTGATCTCAGGGCAGATACTTTTACTCTGTGGGGAAGGACTGCCTGGAGCTTGTCAGCTCATAAAACAAGGTTTAGGTGTTTCTGCCAGTTAAATTCTTTGTACAGCCATAATGTGATTTTGTGGGCACCCCTCACACAAAGCAGAAAACTCTCAGAAGAGATTAGCTCTTACCTAACTAGTGTTTCATTGTTGCGATGTACTCTATGTGAAGAAGGAATAACATCTTACATTAATTTTGCTAAAAAAATACAATAGTTTCTTTCAAACTTTACTGTTGCACTTGTATGGCATCACTTACTTTTTTTATTTGTACATGCCAAAACATTTTTCTCTACTAGCAATTGATCTTTAAAATAGCAAAAGCATGTAGTCATCGCATTGTTTAAATTTGAGATAAGAGTTTTTTTTTTCTATTTGTGGTAACTGAGCAGTTCAAAATGCACAGAATTGATCCAGCAAGGTCAAATATGATACTTTAGACTTTCTTTACTCAAGTAGGTAATAATACTAAATAACCAATGCTGTTTAATCTCTTCTTATTACTTATCTCTGAGAGCTTGTTTGACACTACAAACTAATGAACATTTTAAACCACATGAACAGAGTGGGAGAAACGAGAGTGGTGCACATGAAAATACAGTATATCCCCCTTTCGTGACAGTGTGCGTTATGAATTTGTAGAGAAAAATGTAGTTTGCTGTTTAGTGTTTGCAAGGATTTTGTTCTTTAAAATTTAAATCCACAGGGACACTGTATAACTGTGAACATCATTACACTGAAAACATGATAACGGCTACATTTCTGCCAATTATTTCCCTCGGTTTTTGCCTTACCATGCAGTGAATGCTATGGGCTATAAAGCAAGGAAAAGGCAGTATAGTAATTTCTCTTTCCGAAAAGCCAAAACAGAGATCAGGCTGGCACCCTGATTGTTTTTTTTTCCCCATTGTTTTAATGCAGACTCTTTGGAGGCAAGCCAGGTAAACAGGCCCCAGTCACAACAGTGGAAAACATGAAGAACTCGACTGTTATCTCCAACCCCCACGCCACCATGAGCCAGCAGGGCAACCTTGACTCTCCCTCAGGCAGTACCGTGCTGAGCAGTGGGGGCAGCAGCCCACTGTACAACAAGACCACCGACCTGGCTCACTCCTCCTTGGCGTCTAGCCCTGGTTCTGCCCACTCGGCCCCTTCCAACAGCCTCACATGGGGCACCAACCTCAGTAGCTCCTCCACAGTCAGCAAGGAAGGCCTGGGATACCAGTCCGTGAGCAGCCTGCACACCAGCTGCGAGTCGATCGACATCTCCCTGGGTAGTGCGGGTGCCAGTCACCACAACTCCAACAGTGGACTGGTCCCGTCAGGCAAAGACGACTCCCTGTCAGCGTTCGTCAGGACCAATAGCGTCAAGACAGCCATGTCTGAGAGGTAAGAGAAGGATGGTGCTGCTCTCAGAATATGCATTTAGAATGATTAAATGAGGCACAAAACTGATCTTTTTCTTCCATTCTTCTGAGGCTACGTTTAGGGGGTGTTAAAGGAATAGATGTCAGGGGATATCAAGTGTTAAGTGTCGACTTATTCACTATCTTTATGAAGGATTGATACTGTACAAATGTTTCTGACTAAGCAGCAGAGAGAAACTTTCAGATCTGATCTGATGAGATAATGGGACATTCAGACAGTGGCATTGTAACTCGCTTCACTTGACAGTTTAAATTTTCTTGTAAGTAATTTTTAAGCGCAGTCAAGATACAGTCTCTCTGCATTTCCTAAAAGCACAAGCAGTTTTTCTGAAACCTGAAAAATTATCGAAATGCCACCAAGATTTGGTGATGGTAAATTTTCCAACTTGTTGAATATTTTTCTCCTTTTCCCCACTGCTGACTAATTCTCTTTCTGTTCTGTTTACCCCTTCCTCAGTCCTCTATCTTCCCCATCTGCTAGTCCAAAATTCAGCAGAAATACTTTACCTCGGAAACAGGACAGGTAAACGTGTCTGTCTTGATCAGTGAATTATGCTGAGCTTCGCAAAACTGTGACTAAACTCATTATTGTGCACGATTTGACCTTCTGCTGCACTCCTTTCCTCGGCCACTCTGAGGTGTTGCTGCACCCTGCAGTGTAAACTCACAATTTTGTGCGGCACCACCTTGTGGTTACAAATATTACTAAAATCTGGTATGGCCCGTAATTAAGAGTATATTAGCCTTAACAGTAATGGCTTTTGTAACAAAAATAACTGCACTGCTAAATCTAACATTAAATCATTATACCATCTTAAACTTTCACAATGTAGCTTGCTCGCATTCTGTAAATGGTTAGACAGCAGTTTAAGATCATTTTAGAATTTGAAGGGCACAAATAAACTAAAAAGGAGGATTTTATTTTTTGAGATTAGAAATAATGCGTAATTCATAAAGAGCAATCACACAGAGGTTCTTAAAGAAAAAACTAAAGTTTGACTACTATTTTTTTAAAGTGCTTTAAGTGTGAGGTATCTTTTCTTAGCTTCACTGGTATTGTTGTTCCAAAACGTAGGAAATGTCTGTCCTCACCTGCAGACATTGTGCAAGCAGGTTACATTGTTCTCTGTGCTTTAGTGATATATGAATGTGCTAAAGGTGCCTGCAAAGTGAACCTAACAGGACTAGTACCTTTTGTTGGTACAATACTCCCCCCCATGTTTGTACAGTATGATAGCGATCACAGGTAACACCTGGCTCAGCAAATTCCACTCCCCCCAAAAAAGAACAATAGTTAAATTAAGCTTATTGTTTTCCTGTAAACCAGATTAGTTTGGGTACACTAGCACACCAGTTTTCTTCAGTTTCTCACGGCATGCTAGGTTCTGTCTTGGCCGAGTGTCATCATGTCATCAGCCTTTCATTTGTGTTTGAAATTTCCCTTGATAGCACCAGATGGTTCTTTCCAGCAACACTGTGAACTCGCATTGCAGTGCTGTCATCGTCTTTAACAGAAATGGAGCTTTCCACATATACAAAAATAAGGCATATGGCTTGGTTTTGAGCGATCTGACAAGCAACAACAATTCTTGTGTAGCTTCAAAGTTGAGAGTTCATCACCAAGGCAGGTGATATCACGGTTGAATTAAGTGATAATACTATAATACAGTGGAATAAGCAACTCTGAGATACAGTTTGGTGTTTTTCCAAATAATGTTAAACCAATTTTTGGCAAACATGTAATTCCAGTTCATTGTTTAAATATATAGCCATAACTTTCCACTTATTTCTTCATAATCTGTAAAAAAAAAAAGTGAAATCCATTTAGCCTGTTTTGTATGCAGTCCGTTCCTTCAGTGTTGACATTGCTGTGTATTTATGGCAGTTAAGAAAGAACAGAGACATTTCTGAGGGCTTAATTTTGTTGCCCCACCCTTTGTTACCCTCCTCCTTTGTCCTTCCATCTCTCTCTGTCCCTCTCTGAAGTTTCTCTCTAAATCTCCTGCAGTGACCCACACCTTGATAGAAACACCTTGCCTAAGAAGGGACTCAGGTATTGGTGCTTCCTGCTGTACTGTAGCGCCAATGCTGTGCTCTTGTTTCTGTTTTTGTGGCTATTGGTGGCAGTTTCTGCTTTGCACACTGTGTGAGCAATTCTGTTTTGCATATTATTCTTTTTGGGTTTGAATTTGTGTAACACCTCAAAGTGGGCACATGCATGCCGTGTCACCTGTGTTTGTAATTTCATTGTCACATGCGCAATGCATGTCTGGCACAGCACCATGTTTCTGTAGGTTGCCTCTTTTTTTTTATTTTGCAGCCTTTTGATGTAAAAAAAAGCTTTTTTTTAAAAAGATGTTTAATGGCACATTGAACATTGAAATGCATTGTAAGAACTTCCAGCAAGTTTTCATACATATTTTGATCATTTACACAGTTTCCTTTACTGTGCTTTCTGGATCTGCTCTTTGAGCAGCCTCCCTCGGCTTTCAGTTTTGAAGGAGAAGGTTTAAAGTCGTGTTGAAATTCAACTAGCTAGGATAAACATCGAGACCAAGAGACCAGAGGACAGATCCCAGTTGTAGTCAATGAAAATGCCAGTATTTTGTAATGGTGTACAACATGTTTGTGAATAACAGTAAACATAGCTTTTCCACAGCAAAATGTTGACAAGTGTTCATCATGATGATCCATGAATAGAAAATTACATACTGTCAAATGTATGGAAGCATTTATATAAAATCACATTTCAGATACTTCAGCATAAATGAGGTTTCATAATTTGATTTCCTACAGAATAGATTTCAGATGTTAACCTGCTTAATTTTCCTATTTTCATTTATTTCATTTTAAAGTGATAATATGGCATTCGTGGTTGTTGTGCAGTTCTGTTATATTTTCCTTGTTTATCCTGATTATATCAGCAGAGATGTTTTGCGAGCTTTTTTCACTTTGTTTGTCTGCTTCCTCACAGCATAGCTGCTCACTGCTTTTTTGCTCTGTATCACAGCATGTTTTACTGATCACTTTGGTTAACACCACTGCTGAGCAATTTGTGCACATTTACTCAACAACTTGTAACTCTGGTTGAACAAAACTTCTGTATCCAGTCATCTGAAACTGCGTCATCGTGTCACTTTTTTAATACTAGTTATATTAAATTCATTGTAGAACTTGAATCACATTTCTGCTCCAAATCGAGATTTTAATTGTGATATTTGTGGATGTGTTCCCAATTGCTTTGCTTTTGAATTGTTGAGGGAGGAACTTAGAAGTCACATCATTAGCGTAAAGAAACAAGCGCTGAAGGTATGAAAAAGACTGTAGAAGCGACATCTTTTACTACTTGAACATTTTACAAATACTTTCGTGGATTACAGGATTTTTGATTATGTGGTTACGTCTTGATGTTAGTGTATGTATTCTCCTGATATGGCCTGTGGAACATGAAGGAGTGGAGGAGTAGGCGTGCACTGCACTTCACTGTATACTATAGACACCTTTGTCCCAATCTGTTCTGTGCTGCCTTAACCAAGAAAAAAAATAATAGAAATTGTCTGAGCCTGAAACGAGTACCCCAAAACCTGGCGTTCCTCTGGCCACAGTTTCCCAGCTTTCCTAGTGGGAGGGTTGCAGTTTGACTGTGTGTGTCTTGCCAGGTATGCTCCTTCGGCCCAGCTGCGCAGTCAAGAGGAGGCCAGGGAGTGGCTGCGCTCCCACTCCGCTGGGGGCCTGCAGGACAGCGCCAGCAACTCCCCCTTCTCCCCTGGCTCCAGCCTCACCTCCCCGTCGGGGACCAGGTTCAACTTCTCCCAGCTGGGTAAGGCTCACCCCTGTGCCGGTGGAATCTAACCTGGCCCCAGCCTGGAGGCACTGCTGCGTAGGACTTTTGGGAAATACCTGCGAGGCAGGGAAAGAGATTGTGTGGAAGTGCTTATGCAGTTCTAATGCATATGCAGTGGTCACTTCTAATCTCCCATTCATGGCAATAACAGAGGATGAGCAGAGGAGTGCTCAACACTACAAAACGTCCTGCAAAACTGCTTGGATTCAGAGCACCCCATGGGGGAAGCACTTTGTATGCGTCGTCTTTGGTGTGCTCCCCAATTTCTTGGTCACAAATTAAAACTCATCTCACCTCATGGCTCTCTCAGGACTAGCACATGAGCTCATGAGAAAACCCACCAGTGAAATGGGACCCATCTCGCTTGTCTGGTTGCTGTTAGGTAGCTGATTCGGTTAAGAATCTCTGGGGGATTCCCAGATGTCTGCTTCAGCAACAGGGCAGGCTTGTCTTGTTTCAGTCCCCACCCCATCTCCCAACATGCACTCAAAACTTTTCTCTCTTGTGTGATTTTAAAAGCATTATTGTGTGATGGAACAGGGTGTCTGCCATCAAAATATGTCCGATTCTTTTGACAATTAAACTTGAGTTTCGAAACTTTAGGTCCATATTTGGTTTCCAAATGGGCAATCACTGCTTTTTGATTGCTTCATGTACATTGCTTTGCCTTACGTTTTTTGTTTTCATATTGTACAGTGATTTTATAGGATCACACGTCTTTACAAATGAATGTTCAGGTCATCTGCTGTGCTTTCCTGCAAGTGGATTCTTCATTAATTTTGCGATTTCATTATTTTAGATCAAACGTTATATGTTGTGTTTACGTTGGTCTTCTGAAGTACCAGGTCCTCTAACCCAGATGCGTGTGTTTTCACAGCTAGTCCCACCACTGCTGCTCAGATCAACCTTGCAAACTCCTCCATGCTCCGCACCAACAGCCTGTCCAATCAGGACGGTTCTTATGACCCGTACAGCGATTCACGCTTCCGGAACAGCTCAATGTCTCTGGATGAGAAAACCAGAACCATGAGCCGGTCAGGATCCTTCCGGGATGGTTTTGAAGAAGGTAAGATCATTTGCTGTAAAATAGTCCTTGGCAATACGAGACCGACAATTAAGGAAAGCGTACATTGAGTAGTGGAATTCCCTGCTCATTAATGACAAAACAGTCTGGGATGTGAAATTAGTTCAGCTATGGGAAGATCCACAAGAAAAGACAAAACTGGAAAAGTAGTATACCGGTAAAAAAAAAAAAATTAATGATAACTGACAGGCCTTGAAATCTGGTTTGCAGTTTGGTGTTAAACAGATCAAGCTTCACGGCTGATTTTCTTGAAGTAATAGTTTATATCGTTTTGAAATGAAGGTGTTGTTTGCTACATGTTCTAGCTGGAGCCTGTAGTCTTTGTGTAGTCATGTGCAGTCTTGCAGGCAGAAGATAATATTTTTAAATACCTCAGTAGTGTTTTCAGTGCCAATTCCCTTCTTTATCCCCTGAAACCATTTAAAAACACTGAACCTTGTTTGTTATTGATAAACGTCGAATGGGAAAGAAGTTAATTTATCGGGCATGTATTGATATATTACTGAAAATACTGTGCATTTACGTTATCCACTTCTTACTTTAGGGAGAATTGATATAGTATGAGTATAAGCTCCTTTTGTGTGTTGTGACTCAGTACGTGACTCATACAAAGTAGCTGGCCTGTAAAGCAAATTTTCCAAATTAGAAATGGAAGCGTATGAATTAAGTTCTGATCAATTTTCTTTTTCCCTGAAAGTGTAGGTTGCACATTATCCTTTAAACTGTTCGCTTAAGGAGAAACAGATCTATTTCAGTTTTCAGGCAATTTTCTAAAAAGGTGATGGGTTATGAATTGGATATCAGAGAAGTGTCCTCTCTGTTAGGATTAATTTCTCAATATTAATTACTGATGCAGATTGTTTCAGATTTGTGTACACCATACCTACACAGAGTTCTTCTCACTTGTTGATAAGTCATTATTCTGGCAGATACTAGTTTTGACAAGTGGAGAAAAGGCACATGTAAAATATGTCAAAAGTCGCTAATATTGCAGAGTTAATTAACTACAAAGTTTTTTTTAAAGTGTTTTCTTCCATTTAGCTCAAGACTGAACACTACTTTATTCTGAAAGACTCAGCGCTGGCATTTATTCAGCAGGTGTTTTCTGTTATCTGAGGAAAACACAAGTTATACGAATCACTCAAAGGCTGATGAGTAGAATTCATTGTTCTGTACTATTCAGCTTCGCTAGGCGATCTTTTTTCTTTTGGATTCTATTCTGACCTTCACCTCAGAAGCCTTGATATTGTCTTGTGCTCATGAGATGTGATGCCACAGCACAAATGAATGCTGCCCATTGTGCCAAAGATCTCTGTCTCTCAGAGTACAGATTACTGACTTGACTAATTCAGTGACAGGGACACCTAAACGTCCGGTGCCTTTGGGGCAAATTGCATATATTTATCGAAGAACACAGAATATGTAGTCTGCCAGAAAAGATCTTTGCTTTGTTGCATAGCTGAAATAACATTGTTTGACCTTTTGTATCTTGCTTTTCATTAAAACTGAGAAGTTAGGTTTTTCTTGAGATGGAAGTACAATGACTACTGTTATCCCATCTGATGTTATCCCATCAGCGATACCTGACCTGTAGCCCATTAACCATTGGCACTCACAAGCGACAAGTGAAGGAGAAAGAATGCTTATTTGCAGTTTTAAAATGCTGCTTTCGTAATAGGATTTGTGGTGGTAGGAGGAACTTGTAACCAAGACAAACAAGTCACACCACCTCTAGGGTGTACTAGTACAAGATAATTGCTCCATGTGTTTGTGTTTGTCAAATTTGGATCTGCTTCTTCTGTTTCTTGGCAACTGTATTATACCATAAAATGACACTTAGAAAATGCAAATGATTCTCTAAATATGCTTAGATGCATTAAAAAAAACGAATATTATATTATATTATTATATTACAGAATATTATATTCAGTGATGTGATGAATAATAATTATAATATTGGACTTTTATCTCATGTTGCTTTCAAATAAACACTTTACATTAAATTTGAGAAAAAATGCTGGCATTTTCTACAACTACCCAATAAGCATGTGGCCTTTTTTGTATTAACATCATTTTTATCCTGCATTGCAATTCTTAAAACTGTGTTCTTTCTTCCCCCAGTTCATGGCTCTTCACTGTCTCTTGTCTCCAGTACCTCCTCTATCTACTCTACAGTAAGTGTCAGTGAAGTGAGCCTCTTGAGGCTGAGAGTTAACTTGGTTTGTGCAGCATCCTTAACGAATCTGCGGTGTGTAAGGTTAAGACACCAATTTGACCCATGTGGCACGTTTACATTGCCAGATGAAATGTTCTGGAACATTTGATACTGATTGGCATTATGGTATTCACATACTACTCTTCTCTTGCAAGATCAACTCCAAGTCGCTCTGAGAGCTTCACACGCATAGTAAAACATTGGAATCCCGTGTCTTAAATTTGTTAACTTGAACATATTAACTACTGCTTACTAGAATGAATACATGTTCAGTTAACTTTATACTGTACGTGGGTCACTGACAAATTAATATTTGATAAAATTAATAACTTTATTTTAACTCAGTCTGTTCCTGTATAGAAGTTGTTACTTGTGTTTTCATGAATAATGTATGGCTGTAGGTACTGAAGGTGACAGTGTGTAAAAAGCCCACTGAGTTTTCTCCTAGCACAGACATTATGGAATGAGCAGTTTGCTGCTCTTGGCTAGGAACTCTTCCACAGGCAGTGGACGAGAGAATTATTATACAGGTGATTTGGAACAGGGGGAGTATAATCTGATCTTTAGTAAAGCTGGCTGTGTTGTACATGCCTCACTTCTTTTAAGACAAAAACAGCACTAGACCTGTAGCAACATGAGGCAAAGCAAACAAAGGCAAACATTTCTAGTAGCTAGAGCGTGTTCCTCCGTTTTCAGTTTTTTTCAAAGCCGGTTTCCCCGCAAAATTCCCTTTGAATCCAATAAACAAAAAGGCCAACGCCCCCCAAAAGGGGGAAAGAATGGTGAAAACCGAAACCAACAACAAAACAAATTGCAATCCGGCCGGAAAAAAGTTTCAACAATGCAACCAACGAAAACGGGGGGGCCAACAAGCCAAGGAAAAAAGAAAAAAAGGAACCCCTCCCCCGAAAGCCCCCCCAAGGAAAACCGAAAACAAGAACCAAAAAACCGGGGGGCCCGCCCCCCAGGCCCCGGCCAAGGAATAAAGACGAGCACTTCTGTGTTTTCACAATGCCAGTGTTGGTCAGGTGTGGCAGAACCTGACCCAGTGAGGCAAATAGCTGTGATGCCTTTTAAAGCAAGACAGGGAGAGTGAAATCGCAGCCAGGCTCACAATGATGGCAACCATATCCTTCACAGGGACTTTGAAGCCCTTTGATCACACGGTAGGGAGACTTCTGCTTTGCAATCTAGAATTTGCAACTCACGAAATACCTAAACTACGCAGTAAGGTGGTTCGTTGCTTTTACATTGCTTAGGCTGTTTGATTTCTTGTACTGTATGTTTTTCTGCATGCCAAGGTTTTCTTAATTAGAAATAGTCACTCTCAGGGAATCCTTGACTATCATCATCCTTTTTTATGGGGGTGGGTTACATTTATCCTTAATAGGCAGGATCAGTGATGTTAATTTTTTTTAAAATGTTATTTTATGTACTATGGGTACCTGTTTACAGTATGTAAACGCAAATAGAAATAAGTGTAAACAGTTTTATTTTCAATTTTCGATTGCAATACTGTATGTACCCAGTTCTTTCATAAACAATTTGAGCCTGTAAGTCACTAAAGAAGTGCCTTACGATTATAACCCTGTTTAAAAAGTGTTGACATAAAACGAGTTACTCATTATAAAAAGACTTCATAAGCAATGTTCCCTCCAAGGAAAACAGGTAATGAAATTAGCACACATAGGAAATTGAACTGCTCACAAAAAATTAAATTCCAAAAAAATATGATGATAATAAAACCAACATGATCATGTGCTAAATTGACCACATGAGACTGTCTGCGAGAGTCCCAACGTGGCTATGTGCATTATTATTGCCACTCGATCATCGATATCTCTGCTCTCATAGTCTCGTACCTCACTGCTCATGCTCGCTCGACACTCAGTCTCCATGACTGGGCTCGTTGAATCGCTGTCCTGGTCTTTTGGATCTCTATGCTTCTATGAGGATGACTATATTAACAAAAAATAATTTACAATTTTACATACACTCAATTTAGTGTGCACAAGTTTTTGTCACCGGGGGGAAAATCTGTACAACTTGAAATTTTTGCACACACAGGCCACTAAAAATTAGAGGGAACCTTGCTCACAAGCCAAAGAAGTTCATTTCTGTCCAAAAGAAAGGCTTGGTGATAGAGCGAAGAAATTGAGGGATTTCACAGGAGAATAAGAAACACGGTACTGTACACAGTTTCTACAAAACCCAAGCAATTCAAAAGCAGCAAAAGGCACAACAGAGGCCACACAACACAGTTCCATAAACCAATATGTAGTTATCGGGTATCCAGGATAGATGAAAGTCTATCACACAAGCAGCCAATCTGAATGTCAGTATTTCTGCAACCACTAATCTTAAAAAATGATTATTTTCAGGAGACTTGTTAATACCTAGAAATGTACGTTTTTGTGATTTAAAGTTTCAATAAGCTTTTGGCCAATACTGCACTTACAGTATCTATATGAAAACAAGTGTTTAAGAAGCTGGGAGTCCGCTCAGCCCATCTACAGTATCTCATTTGGCTTTTAGCAGCAAATTGATCCAAGGATCTCCTCCAACTGGCTGTTTTTGTCAGTTATTTCAATTCCAAAACTGCTTGCATTATTCTATTTGAAAAAAATGAAAGCAGAATGATCAGGTGTTTAGCAAGTAAGAATAGTATTAATTGCAAATAAAAGAAATTTCTTGCTGTTCTGAGTGGTCTTTCAAAAACATATATTCGTTCAATATTTAATGGATGTGATTGTAATCGGGCTAAGTTCAGTGTTCAGACTTAGTTTCATCATCCATCACTAGACATTATTTCATAGCACAAATTTGCAAGTCTACTGAACTCAGAAAACGTTATCTTTTGCAGGTCTATGTCTGCCTGTCTCACTCAACAATATACAGTTGCAGACATAAACATTGACACAATGTAGTTGAAATAAAGTTATGAACTAATGCGTTATGTGAGGCAAGTTTAGTTGTCATTATGTCAATTATACTACTGCTGAGTTTGTTTCAGATATAGAGCAGCACACATTCAGTAAGTATTTTAATCCTGTACGTGACAGGAATTAATTTATTAGGCTTGTTATCTGTCTCTTCATAGGATGAGTGTCCAATGACATAGAAGATGTAAATGAATTAATTCTATATGCATATATTTACAATGTGAATATAGGTTATACAGAAATAGGAAGATTTCCATGTTTACAAAAAAAAGAGGTATAAATGCATTCTGTTTATAGAAGGGGCACTTTAAAATTATTTGACAGAAGGCACAGGGATGAACAGGTTTTGTTAGGGCGATTAGTTGACAGATGAGGGATTGTCAGTCATCCAGCCACCCATTGTTGTCAAAAATAGAATCCAATAGAGAGGCTTTTGTATGAAGTAAATGTTACTACATAAGAGTTATATCATCTGTTTAAAAAAGCAGCAACAGTAAAAAAAAACAAAAAAGCCTAACAATCATAACAAAGGTAAAATCTCTTTTTGTTTGGATAATACTGTAACTATAGCAGGTATTATGTCTGTTACCATTTGCCTGGCAATTGCTGTGGAAACATTGCCAGACATTGGAAAGCATTAGCTAAAACAATGCATTTTTAAACTACGTAATATAATAAGAGCTGTTGAAATGTGTAGATGTGTAAAGGGCCTGTTCTGCAAAACTACTTATACACAAACAGGCCTAATGGTGAATTGTAATGCATTAATATATCCGATAAGTATTTGCGTATGACTCTTGGTAGTCTAAATAACAGGTAATGTTTTTTTAGGCACATTTCCTGTAAATAACATGGAGGACACCTGCAATAAAAAATAAACATTTGTCATGAAACGTGCGGTGCAGAGCCACATTGGTGATAGGATACTCTGGGAATCCAACCATAAGCCATAAATCTCCCAGTGTACTTCTTGCCCTGAGCCATATGTCAGTGATGTCTTTTCTCATGAATTACCAAAGAGCCTAAGAGCCAGAACATAGGAGCTATTTGCATTTGAACAAAATGTAGATATTACTTTGAGATACGGACGGTGCAGACAAACTATGTGCCTTGACAGGTACGAAGGTACAAATGAGATTGATGATTTCTGTGATCCTTTGCCCCAAAGTGGAAATGTTATCTGTTTGATCTGTTTTTCCAAACCATCACGATCCATCTCAGAAAACATTGGCAAACAGGTTTAGCTCCATAAATGTAAATATTTTTTTTTCTTGTAATCCATGTAATTAAAGTTTTTGTTCTCTTTTGCTTTTTCTAGCCTGAAGAAAAGTCACAGTCGGAGGTAAGGAAATCCTGATTTTGCTTCTACAGTACCTTTACTCCCTGCCTCTGTAACAGGAGAGAACCGTTTGAAGTTGTGTGGTTTCTGAACAAGAATCGCCAAAGTTCATGTTTTTTTTTTTGTTGCTGATGCTTTTATTTAGATCCGCAAGCTTCGAAGAGAACTCGATGCTTCCCAGGAGAAAGTGTCAGCTCTTACCACACAGCTAAGTGCAAACGTAAGTGTAAAGGACCCCTACAAAAAAAAACATTACAAATGTATTTATTGTTATTACAGTTTTGGCTTGTGGTACTTAAGTTTGAGAGATAATCAAACATCTGCTGGTTTCTTCATTTTTCTTTCAATTGTCAAAAAAACCTGTGCTGCCTTGGAAAGAAACAAGTGGTTAATCATAAAATTCACAAAGGCTTGCAAACAATTAATTACTGCCATTAAGAAACAACATAAACACAAAGAAGCAGCATAAGGTTTTAAATGTGATGTCTGGTCATTAAATGTTTTGACTACAAAATGTCAATCTTGAGAGGTAGTCAGGATTTTGGTGCTTTTTTTCCCTGGAACTTGGAACCTTAAATAATTAATTCTACAGTGGTAGTTTAATTGATTTTTTTGTGTTGAACTGCTTTTTTCTACCTTTCCAAGCCTCCAAAGACAAGTGTTGCTGAACACTTATTCAGACGTTTAATAAAAGATAGGCTGAAACCTGAACAGACTTGCATGGTTTGTGGTAAAAAGATCTGTTTTTTTGAAGATGAAGCAGGAATCTTTATTTGAGGTTTTATGTCCTTTATTGTTAAAGTGTGGATTGATAAAATGTACCTGTATTGTATATGAAAGAGTTTTTTTTTTTACAATAAAAAGACGTATAAAAAAACTGACAGGAAGCTTTCTTGGTTTGGATAGCTGCCAGCATGATTTCTAAAAAAGATAAAAAGAACACGAAGTGAGTGGCTAAATTGGCTACTGGCTACTGAAGACTATTGAAGAAACGTCTTCAGTCAAAGATCTCTATGCTTCACTTGCTTACAATTTATTAAATCAGGACAAAAACACACCTTTTTTAAAATTCATGCCTGATAATGGAGCAAATGGAAACAGTGTAACATCTGACTCTTTAATTGCCTCCAATATTAA